ACCCTGTGTGTCGATGAGACCGGCGGTAGATGTGGACGTCGACTATATAACGAACTCGGGACAGGTGATACAGACACCGTTAGCTATCCCGTAACTTTACACCATTGTGAACGCAATCGTCACTCACCATCGTTTATGCCCCCTTCATCCGGCTCGACCGCTGACCCGCCTACGAAGCGTCGGGGTGCCGTCAAGCGCAAAGAACCGCCGACCGCAGTCGACTCCGACCCCGCCGCCAATGCATCACCTCCAAAGGAAGCTGCCCCCAACGCCGCCGATGTCGACCTGATGCCGCTTCCTGGCACGACGCAGGATGTCGAGGACGTGGTGATTATCACCTGTTGCAAGGGTGTAGAGTTCAACGCCACCCACAAGGAGTTCATCGTGGACCACGTACCTGCCCCGATGATTGGGTGTCCGTTCGATGTGTACCATTGGAAGGATGTCGAGCGTTACCTCCGCTACGACGATCGCATCCGTGGTGGGCTTGCCTCGGTTGATGAGCCGGTCCCAATCGGGTATTATTCCCTCCGTTCGACGCTCAGGAAGCTCGTTGATCCCAGCATCGCCTCGTTGTCCGGATTTGACGATAAGGGTGTGGTCGAGGTGGAGGGCGAGCCGATGCGATCGATCTTCTTCCGGCCAGAGGTTCAAGAGATCTTAGACGGGCTCGCCGCCAAGCGTACCGCTAAGTCGAAGTCGGCGAAGGGAGGGCAAGAGAAGCCCGAGGGGACCCAGGCGAAGAAGATCAAGAAGCAGCCGACCGACGATCGCGCAGGGTCGAGCCAGGGATCACACGTGGTTGCGGGATCGTCGAGCGCGTCAATCGGCGCATTAGGGGTCGATGAAGATGTCATTCAGTTCGCTATAGTGCAGGCGCTGCGTGGACAGATGCGCGCTCAACAGCGCCGTCGGGAGCGAGAATTAGAGAAGAATACGCGCCGGGGAGTGTAGTCGAGGGATCGAGGCGGAGGATTACCTTGTTGGGCGAAGCGGTTTCCACTTCGGGAGGGCGGATGTTACGTGCCGGTTCTGCCGAAGGCTGAGACCGAGAACTTCTTTCCTTTTCTAGCATCCGGCGCTGATGCGCCTTTTGACTGTTTGATCCTTTTACTCCACTTCCATATGCTCAAGGGCTCGCGACGAGGTATAAAAGACAAGCAGCTTCGTCGCGAGGACCTTTACCTTTTGGTTTCGTATCTTACCTCGAGTTGCTCAATCGAGACGTGAACTCTCTCTTGTTGTGCCGCTCGAGAACCTTACCGTGTGAACGCACCTTAGCCTTATTCGGCTTTGCCCGCGTCACACCTAGGCTCCCATTACTTACTCGATATTCCTCACATCTTCGTACTCATTGAATACCTCTGAGGTGTTGTTCTATGTAGGATGACTATGTGCTTCAGGTTACTTATCCTGTATCCCTCAACCGAAAGCCATCTTAGCCCTAACCTCACGGCGCTCACGGGACCCCGTCTTCCATGAGCTTCCACGGCGGTGTTTGTTTCGGGCCGGTGGCTGGCGAAGTATGACCTTAAGCCAGTCGACGATTGTACAAAGAATATCGTGTGTTACTCACGTTCGTATCTCTCTCCTTCGTTTATCTCTCCGTAGCTGAACATGGCACCCATCCGCACTGTAGGCAGATTTGCTCCCTTGGTTGAATCGAGATTGTTAAGACGAGACCGTTTTCAACCTGCAGCAATGGTCTCGGCTGATTCGGTTCGTCGCGGCCGAAACCGGGCAAGTCCATATCGGGCAGCCCGTGGACCGCAACCTGGATGGTACGAAGGCATAAGATCTCGTATTTGCCAAGTGGTGCTAAGCATTCGGCCCCTCGCAGTCGGTTTGGCGTTCGTGCAGAAGGAGAAGATACAGGCGCATGAGATTGTCGGGTCCCCGTTTGACCCCGCGGCCTCGGTTACCCAGAATCTGCTCACCGTGAAGGAACTCCTCGCGCCTCTGTCGAGGGAGCAGGTTGGCCTGGTCCGGTGCTTGGGTCTCAATTACGCCGACCACGCTAGAGAAGCGAATTTGGAAAAGCCCAAGTTAGATCCATGTCAACTTGGTCGTTGCATCCCCTGATCATCCCGAACTTCAGCGCGCCTGTCCTGTTCTACAAGCCCGTTGACACCCTGCTGGGTCCAAATGCCCCAATCACAATCCCTCATCACGCGCAGCCGATCGACAAGCACCATCCAGATTATGAAGTCGAGGTCAGCAGTCCATTCCATCCTCCGATGCCTGTATGAACGGACGATTATTTGCTTAGCTCACCGTTGTAATCGGCAAACCGGCGAAGAACGTCTCTGAAGCTGAGGCCCTCGATTATGTGCTTGGTTACACCGCCGGCAACGACGTGCGTCCCTGTCGCAGCTCCGTCCGAACGACCGGACACGGTAGCGGTGCATGGTACAAGCTGAACCGCTTTCTCAGATATCGTTCCGCTTCTGGCAATGGCACGTATCTCAATGGAGTTTCTCGAAAGGTTTCGGTAAGCGACTGTGATTTCCTCGGCGTTCGGCTAATTGAACAGGACTACCAGACAACACAACTCCTATTGGCCCCGCGCTCGTCTCCGCGACTGCGATCTCTGACCCACAGGCGCTCAGGCTCGGAACCATTCTGAACGGGCAGACAATGCAAGATGGAACGACATCGTGAGTACCTATTCCCACACATACATCACCGCGCGCTTTTGTGGAAACTTCTTCCCTCGCATATCGAAGTTCTTTCGAATGTGGGAGGTTGCACCATTCGGCTTTGCCCTGGCTTCTCACTTCGCGCTTTACTGCTGACCGTGCCGTCTATCGACTCGCTGACATTATCCCGTCGCAGTGATCAGCTGTTCACTGTTCGGCAGACAATCGCATTCCTCTCGCAGGGAACAACCTTGCTCCCCGGATCTATCATCATGACAGGCACCCCGCGCGGCGTTGGATCTGCACGCAACCCGCCGGTCTATCTCAAGAACGGCGATGAAGTGCGCGTATGGCTGGACGGCGGCATCGGCACCTTGATCAACCCTGTCGTGGAAGAGGGCAAAGCCCGTCTATGAGCCATTGTAAGGATTGCTGGATGTTACCCGTGATATATTGTTTTTGTATGACGAGTGTAACGATCCTGGACGACAATCTGTATTCTCCTTTACGTTGAAACAAGAGCGCTTTGTACATCATTCATTTCTTCTTGCCTCTGGCTTTGGCCCGGCTCCCTTCCTTATCGTCATCCAGGAAACCACCTGAGACGCGATTAGTGACAATCCGCGCCGCCTTCGTAGACTTACCTAGCTCGAGAGCATTCCTAGCCGCCTGATTTATATGCTTGAAGCGATCGGGACCTAAATGGATGCCACCAAAATATCGGGTCACGACGACGAGAACATTATTGACCTCCTGTGTCAGGTTATGTCAATGAAGATTCGCGACGATAAATCCAAGACGGTACCAATATTTGCAGCAAATGCGCGAGTCTGCCGCCAGCGGCGGTTTCGCCGTCATCATCATTATCTGTAGGTTACATCGAGTCAAAATGGAACTGTCGATATCGACGACACGCTCGAGGTACCTTGATGCAGTACGGCACCGACCTGACAGCGCCACGCGTTGATAATCGGGTGAGCTGCTCGGGCAATCCGCCGGTCGCTCATAAGATATGATAATATGGCTGGTACCTGCCCGTTGGAGACGTCACGTCAACAAGCGCTGTACAGATGAAATGAAGGGACGTGCCTGTGACGGATGCGTTATTCGACATGCACGGCCGACGAATACGCTCTTGCGATCCACGATGCTATCAGCCTCTACAAGCCCTATTCCCGCTGGCAGTTCATCGGCAGGGCCAACTTCTTGCAGCCTGCGAGGCGTGGAGTCCTCCACGGTTTTGCTGCCCTCTTCCTCTTGAGGGGTGCGATGCCGCATCTCCTTCTCCTCCTCCCTCAATAGCTCCCCCGCTTTTTCCACGCTCAACCGATCTTCATACCACCGTACACATCGTTCCAGCACGTTTTGAATCCCGTCAAAGACGCACTCTGCACCTGGTGTCCATTCCACGCCATCTTTGGTGGATATGTACGTACGGATGATGGAGCCGAAGAGAGCCGAGTCGACGCTGAACGCGCCGATGTAGCGGGAGAGGAGTTGCAATTGCGGCGGCGAGGATGCCGGATAGGTCGGAGGGAGAGAGACGAGGATGCGCATCGGCACAGAATCACACGGATCTGGAAGACTGACATCAGCTTCAGCTCAGGATGTTTGACCGACCTCAAGAAAGGGTGGATTTACTTCAGGTGGATCTCGTATCGGATTGTGCCGCTCTCCGGAGAACTGGAACTGCCGCGAGATGTACTTGATTTTGGTGGATGCCATATCCTGATAGACCCGGGTTCATAGATGGATTGTAGAACTAGGTAGATACAGCGATTGGACACCTTTCAAGATGAAGAAACTAGACAGCATACCGCTGATTTCAGAAGCGACAACTTCGCGCTCTGGATCCGCTGCGACCTCGCCGATGAGCGCCTCCAATTCCGCTGCATAATCTCTATCGGCCGCACGGTCTTCCGGCGTCGTCGCCCTCGAGACCATGTTGCCGATCGCGCCTCCAAGTCAGTCCAGGGGAAAAGGATCAGTAGACGTGGGAGAAGTCGTCGGCGATTTCCCGCATGACGTCGGGCTAAGCGACTTGACCGACGAGGACACGGAGGCTCACGCTCGCAACTCTCACAACCATGCGGGCCAACAGACCTCTTCGGTTTGCTGTACTCGGACAAAGACAACCACTACGGTGGCCGGTCGTTGTTATCGCAGGACGCAGGATGGCCAGCAGCGACGCAGCGACCAAGGTGAGCGTCCGACAACAGAACATTCAATGCATGACATGACCCGATCATTTACTCCAGCTTGGTCTGAAAGATCCGACTCTGTTCAAGACACAGGCACTTATCGGCGGGAAATGGCTCGGAGCCAAGGACGAGGCGACAATAAAAGTGTTCAGTGCGTGCTCGTTGCAACCGCGCACGATTTCAGATTCGCGAGCCGTGCTGAATACTGGCCGATAGATCCCGCGACGGATGAGGAACTTGGCACCGTTCCAGACCTAGGTCTCTCTGAGACCCAGGAAGCCGTGGAGGCTGCTGCAGCTGCTTTCAAAACCTGGAGCAGGACCACCGCCAAGGTATATGCGTAAATCGCAATAGGTGTCCTTATTACCTAACTCTCTGCAGGAGCGCCACGATATCCTCAAGAACTTCTATGCACTGATGCAAGAGCACTCTGAAGACTTGGCGCGCATCATCGTATAGTGCCTCTCCATGGGTTAATAAGAACAATGTCCTAACCCCTGCTAGACTCTGGAAAATGGCAAACCTTTGGCAGAAGCTAAAGGAGAAAACGCGTATAGCTCATCATTCATTGAAGTGAGCACGGTTTTCATGCATCTGTGTTTTCCCTACTAACGGGTTTCTCTCAGTGGTTTGGTAAGTTGTGAGCACCACCAGGTTTGGAAGCAAGGTGACATATATGCCTATCTCACAGCGGAAGAAGCTGTACGAACATACGGAGGTACGTCAGACGTAAGGTTGTTGGCGCCTCAAGCCTGACTGTGTTAACAGAGCATATTCCCTCGCCATTTCCGCATATACGCAACATCACGATCAAGCAACCCGTCGGTGAGTCCCATCCAGGTCTAGGGAAAGGCCCATAACTCATGCTGCTCTAGGTGTTGTGTGAGTGTGGACGATCGCGCGATCCTGTACTGAGATTTATTGGTGCTCTCAGATCCATCTTGACGCCTTGGAACTTCCCCTCAGCAATGATCACCCGGAAGCTCGGTGCAGCTCTGGCAGCAGGATGCACGACGGTCATCAAACCTGCTTCGGAGACCCCGTTTTCCGCTTTGGCTTTGGCAGAGGTGGGCGTCTACGACAAAGCTCCGGTTGGCACTCCTCTCATCTGGTGTTCTTCTTCAGCTTGCAACCCGCGCTCAAGTACCGCCAGGCGTAATCAACGTTGTGACGACCCACCAGCACGTCAGCGACGTTGGGCGTGAACTGTGCGAAAACAAGGAGGTCAGGAAAGTCACGTTCACGGGATCCACACCGGTCGCGAAGATGCTGTATGGCCTCGCGAGTAAGACAATGAAGAAGCAAGTGAAGGCGCTCCCACCGTGTAGCGGCATCTGATATCATTTTGCTCGCAGGGTATCGATTGAAGCCGGTGGAAACGCGCCCTTTATCGTGTTTGATGACGCAGACATTGATGCGGCAGTGGAGGGTATGCCTTCCTAGCCAGCCTTCACATCCAGGACTGAAGAAATGACTAGGTGCGATCGCATGCAAGTTCCGCGGCACGGGCCAGACCTGCGTCTGTGCCAACCGTATCTACGTCCAGGCCGGAGCGTTCGACGAGTTCGCATCCAAGCTCGCGGACAAGGTGTCGCAGTTCAAGCTTGGTAATGGCCTCGACGGTAAAACGTATGAAGATTTCTCTGAGCCGAGAAGCTTCTGCTTGGCTGACACTGGGTCTCATGCCAGGACGCATGGGCCTTTAATTCATTCAAAAGCCGTTGACAAAGTCAAGCGGCATGTCGATGACGCCATCCAGCGCGGCGCTCAGATTCTGATAGGCGGTGAAGCAGTTGCTCCCTCATCCACCACGCCCTCCTCCAACTTCTTCGCCCCGACCGTGCTGGCCGACGTCCCCGCCGATGCACTCATCAACACTGAGGAGACGTTCGGCCCCGTCGCAGCGCTGACAAAGTTCAACACTGAGGAAGAAGTCGTCAAGCTCGCGAACGACACTGACGTCGGACTGGCAGGATACTTCTATAGCCGGGACGTTGGTCGAGTCTGGAGGGTCGCCGAAGCGCTCGAAGTAGGCATGGTCGGGACAAACACTGGCTTGATCAGTCAAGCAGTGATCCCATTCGGTGGCGTGAAAGAGAGCGGTCTAGGTCAGCACAGACCATGACAATTTTGTGGTGCATTTCTGACTTCGAGTGCTTTCAGGGCGTGAAGGTGCGCATGGCATTGATGAGTACATGAATACAAAGTACATAGCGTTTGGAGGGCTTTGACAACGGCCCGGCCGACAATGGGACGCTTTCATTGTATGTATAATGTATCAATAGTGATGGCAGAGTACCCGCCATGGTTGCGAGGCCATCTCAACAGATGTTCGTCAGATTGATAAATTTGCCAGTTCTTGCATGATTTGAGCAGCGTCCGGACGATGAGCAGGGTCTTGCGCCCACCACAACTGCATCTTATCCCAAAGGACGTCTGGGATCGGTTCACCGCCCCCATGGATGTCGATGTCCCTTGACGGACGCTGGCCTTGCATGATGCAAACGATGACCGCGAAATCTTGTCGAACGTCCTCGAAGGGAATACGCATAGAATACATCTAGCGATTATGAAGAGGTGAAAATCAAGTGAAAACTCAAGAACACGCACATTGACTCACCTCATATGCTATGCAAGCCAAAGCGTATATGTCCGTTGCGGGGCTTCTGCCGCTGGCCTCCGTGGTTTCTATACTAATGAGCTCCGGTGCCATCCAACGCGGAGACCCTGTGGCATCTTCATGAAGGGTGTCGCCGAAGAACGTTGCCATCCCGAACCCCGTTATGCGCGCATGACATTCAGCGTCAATAAGCACTTTCGCCTGCACATGGTGTGAATAATATCAAAGGCGACAAATAAAATCGCTTACAGCTTTTAGATTTCCATGAGTGATCCGACAACTATGAAGATACGCGACGCCTTCAGCTATCTCAGCGAGCTAGACGTGGGTGGATTAGGAATGGAAGCTTCTCAATCAAGGACAAATCATACTAGTCGTAACCTTTGCGTCCTTTCCTGTGGTCCTCGTCTCAAATACCCCAGGACAGTGCCGTTAGGCATCCATGTAGAGATAATATATGGCAGACGGGGATAAGTCGGATCTTTAGCCAACCCAAGCAGCTTGGTGACTCTTCGATGGTCCAACTGTCTCCAGGCAAGGAGTTCTCGAGTCAAACGTTGCAAGACCTAACGCAGACCGTGAAGACAGATCAAGAACACACATTCTGGCCGTACTGAAAAGACCATACCGGTCCACCGAACTCTGCGGATGCGTCACTTATTGGTGGTCGTAAGCGTTTAGCGGCCACTACCTGGTCCTCGTATGTGCCGCGGAATATATCAGAAGAGCCGGAGAAGACCTCTGGCCGACTTGTGTCGATCTGTACGTTTTGGAGGAACAGATCGGGCCAAGCAAAGGCAAACGAAGGCGGTCCTTCTGTGGCCGTGGTTCGGATTTTGCCGGTTGTTCCGGCGGATTGCTGAGGAATACTATGAATTCGGAATGTAGTCAAGTGTAAGGTGCATGACTGACTTGCAACTGCCCCGGCGCCGTCTTCCGGCTATTGGTGAGAAGTGCGTCCATCGCGGTCTCCAGCACAGAAGGAGGGTGCTGAGGTAGCATAGTGGCAATTTCCTCGCTCTGAAATGTTTCAGTTTACCATAGATGTCGCAGGTAAGTAGTATTGACACCACCTTCTTCCGAGCGTATGCACGATGATTTTCGAGGAACTGGGCCAGAAGATCGTCTACCGGCCACATACCCTGGAATCCAGTGAGGCAGGTATGATCTTTGACCACCTGAGCAGGTAATCATGTATCCAACTAGTGAGACAGAACGACAGTCAATACCTCTTCTTTCACTTTTTGAATAGCTGACGGGTCTTGAGCGCCCATGGTTTTCGCCAGATCCAAGTGCATTCGAGCGGCTCTCCTGACGCTACTCTGTATTTGGGCTCAGATGCATCACACAAGAAGGTAGTATTACTAACGATTATCGCCTTATACTGAGGGTTATCCTGAGACTCGAAACCCATAGACTCGAATATTTTATAGTCACGACGTGCTTGACCACTTGGCTTTGGCACAAGTCCAACGACCGGAGTCGCGGGAGATGGCGGCACAACAGAGTGCTGAAGCGAGGGATCCAGCCGCATCTCCGACGACGCTTCGCCTGATTCGGTAGGAGAGAGGATCTGGATGACTTTCCCTATACGGCGTTGTACACTCGCAAACAGCCGCATAATAACAGGAATACAGCTTACCATGCTTCTGAATATGACTGTGGAAGTGGTCCTTGCGAGTGAATGCTCTGTTGCAGACACTACACACAAACTGGGGTGGACCGTGAACAGCTTTTTCGTGGCGCGTACAGTCTTGTTTCCTCGTGAATGACTTGCCACAGTTTTCGACTTGGCAAATGTAGCGCTTGGGCCTTGATACGTTGCCTTGAAGTTCTGCTTGCCCGCGTCACTTGGGTTTGTGAATATACACATCACGATACTAACCATCTCCGCTGGACTGTGTGGTTCTGTGAGTCAATTGCGCAGAAAACACGTTGAAAGTGACGAACGTATGACCTCGACGAGTCCTGGCGCAAGCTCGGCGCCAGAGCGTGTAAGCTCTTGCTCACAGCGGATTCGAGGGACCCGTCTTCCGGAGGACCTCCCTCCAACGACTCCGGCTCCGCAGTATACGTCTGAAACCCGACATCGCGAGCGAGCTGTGGTGCGAGGATGCTCACTAGTTCTGCTGTGTCCAGATCCGTGGTTGAATGGGCGAAGTCGGTGGAGAAACCAGTGATTAGCGCTGTAGCCTGAACCGGAGACCGTTGAGACTCGGCGTTGTTGGATGCCAAATGCCTCGGCCCCGGAACATCGGGTAGTTCTGTCCTGATAGATGATTCCGGCAGTCCATTCTGACCAGCTCGATTGTTCTCGTTGTAAGAGAGTCGCATCTCATGTATGTGGTGGTAGGTGCCCAAGAATGGTGAAAAATCACATGATCGTTCAATGCTCCCTTTGATTCATGCACAAGCTTTGAAGCTTGTTATGGTTTCAGTCAGTCACAACATGTTGTGCGCGCGGACTGTCTTGTTTACAACTGGGACTGCTGTCATTCCCATGGGACGAAAGCTCTCAGCCATTAATGCATATTAATTATTGGAGGAGGCCCTGACGACTTCTCCCGAAATGCCCATCTCTTTGAGCTTGGTCGACAGTACGTGAAAAAACTTGTCGATGATAGGTTTCTGCAAACGAAAATCGATCTCCACTTGGTCACGATTCGATCTCCACTTCCCGTCGCTGTCTTCGCTGGGATTTGCGACGAATAACTAGGATAAACCATCAAAACATGCCGTCAATGTCAAAGCGCGCGACATACCTTGACATATCGTAGGAACGGCAGGTTATTATGGTAAAAGCGGCAGCTTTGTGGATATCCGAAGTGAGGCGAAGTCCAGTCAAATCTGAACATATTTCCGTTAATACGACTCGACTTTCGTGCACCTAGTGCCCTCAACTTACTTCCATGTTGAGTTCACGGTCATGAATCCAGGAGGTGGCGAAAAGTTGGGGATCTGATCTTCGGCTCCGATCTCCTGCCAACGGTCTGTGAAGATCGGATAGTAGTCGCTCAGGTATTCCGGATCGCGGGTCCTCAATACCGCAAGGCGTGTCCGTTTAGCGAAATTGTACATCGTGAGAGATTCACCAGATGATGGAGGATCTGACAGTGCCCAAAACACTGTCTTGATCTCAGTGACCGGTAGGATAGAGATCAACGAGCACTTACCGCCATTGCACGGGGCATTGAACGGCTTGACGCCTCTGCACTAGAAATCGGTTATGAAGCACAACACTATCGCCGGAAGACATGAGAGTCTTACCGATGTCACGATGCTCACGGCTTTGACAGGAGGCGACTCCGTGTCTGCTTCGGATATGCAAGAGGCAACCAAAGCGATTAGGGCGTCTTGCCGCGAGATCACCACTGCGTCCGGTCCATCCTCGTGTCTGCCCTGTTCCTGCACAGTTTGCCTGATGGCCACCATTTGCTCCCCGGATAGTCTGAAATTAACTCTACCCGGAGGGTCCGTCTTCATGGGATCCATCTCCGAGGGCAGAGTACCGCGTTTGAACCGCTGAGCCAGTTCAAAGATAGGCGAGATGGTATATTTCCTCGCTGGAGGAATATCCGTGGGCAGCACGCTTTCGAAGTTGGGTAAGTCGTCGAGTAAAGAGAGACCCTGATATATCTGAGACAGGGCTCTCATGAAGCGTAGATGTGTATATCCATCGCCTGGTCGTGTGATAAGTGCGCATTATCAGTCCAGGATCAACAACAATCATGTGGTGGGACTGACCTATGATGTGCGATGCCGACACTCCTAGAGATGTCTGCCCGAGGTTGGAGAACCGCGTTATCAAGACACGCAGCAATGGCTCGTCCGCCGTGGGGTCGTATAATTTATTCACGTCAACTTTGTCTATTAGCGTCAGCGGCACTTGAACTACAGTGCTCTGATGCCAGGTGAGCTGAGGACACGTAATTACTGAAAAACTCACTATGGGCACGATATTCTTGTCATCAGATTCCACCAGGACCACCGGAACGCCTTCGTTGCTTAGTCGAACCTGATTGTCCCCCAAACCCCCTTCGGTCTTCGCATTGCGGGTGAGAATAGAACGCACTCACCCTCCACGCACCATCAGCACTATCAGGAACAGACATCCGACCAGCATGCAGGGGGTACAACTGCAATGTTTCTCCTAATGCATGGCAGAATCGCTCTATGTCTATTTTACCTGCAACAACATGCACTGTATCGACCTGCATTGTAGTCAGTAGACGTCCGGGTATGCAGCAGCGTCGACTCACCGAGGCGAATGTTAGATGATCCGAGTGCCGGAGTGTGTAGAAACTCTGCCCAGCCAAAGCTGTCGGCTCGATAGCCTTGACAGTGTGCTGTTCCATAAATCTGGAGCAGATGATATGCCGGAGGTGCGTGACAACACCGGGCGGTATGCATACTTATACCTTGAGACTGCACGTATAGCCGAGCGGCGATCTTCTATCAGTCGGGCTTATATCCTTGATGGGAACATATCTGGCTTCTGAATCTCGACCTTGTCTGTTATCAGAAAAATCGGAGTCGTGTTTCAGCCAGTTGTTGAATGCTCAGAATCTGCATCAAAGAGAAGTGCGGCTTCACCACGTTAGCGGAAGGCAACAGCGTAAACACGGCTTAGTAGTAGTATCTCCGGACCTTCTTCAAGCAGTTCGCGTGTGCAAGATATCGGCAAACATGCTCTTACTTTGCCAATTATAGATCGCGACATGCTTCATGTTGGAGCCCAAGATCAGCGACGAACAGAGGCCCGGGGGGCTTCTTTCATAGGAGCACGTGAGTAACCACTGAAAGGACCCGGTGTCCGCGTCGCAATCGCCGTCGCAGGGCTCGAGCCTCAGCAAGTCAGCAGCAACTGTAGTTTTACCGTGGATCAGTACGATCTTCGTAATGATTGTCCTTCCGGTAGTAATGTGTGTTCTGCATCCAGTAGATTGTATGAACGTCCAGCTGGGATTGGTCGGGGGTGTTGTTCATACAACCTCATGTTCAATTTTGGACTTCATCAACACGCGCAGTGGTCTTGATGAACCCTTTAGACAGTTGGACTTCAAGCTTCAGTTGTCACTATGAGAGACTTGGAAGATGCCTAACAGACCCGCCATTGACGTTCATCATGGGTTCGCTATTTTCAAGGCGGCCGACCATTAAGCCCATTCGCACTCGCGGTTACTACTTCTGGCATGCAGTCGCTATTCCAGAGCCGAAGATACACGACGTGGATTACGCTCAAGAGCAGATTCAACTTCCAGCAGCAAACGCTTTGCCTCGTCTCGTCTACGCCGTGCTCCGATCTCATGCCTTGATATTGTTCCTCCTTCCATTTCCGGTGAAATGCAGATCGCATGTGGCAGTGCAACATGTTGACTTGCAACACGCCGTGACCTCATGTCCAGGCTCAAGCCCTGAATATTCCTCTTTCACCCATCCTCCACCTGCGCATACCTGCTATCACTCCTGTCGGGTTGCTTGTGGGGGGTACCAGTACACGAATTATTGACTGGTCAAAGATACTATGATGTTGACGATGCATGCGACGATTCAGGACGCTCTGGATGAGGTTTGTATTGGATGCGCCACCAACCAGGAATGTAATCCAACTAACGCCGCGATTTTCTCATAGATAGTCTCGTCACGAAGCTCTGATACCAACAGGGAAAAGGCGATAGGTGCAATCGAACAGCTGTTAGCCAGCGTATCTGCTCTATCTCGTCCAAACGCGGGCTCCTCGCTGAGTGAAACCCACGGCGACGCGAGACTGTTTTGGGCACTCCAGGATACCTTCGAATGCAATAGTAAGCTCAGCTCATTTGGACGTGACAACACTTACCGAACGATCCCCTAGTCCCCTCTCATTTGCTGCCATGGATATCCACGAGCGTGTTGCGATTGGAGTCGTTGATAGCTCGAGCACATCACAACCAAGATTCGAATACCACGCCAACCGCCGAGAAAGGGTCCAACAACGATTACGACTCCCAAATTACGTTGTTGGCTCTCAACGTCTCCTCTGTCCTCAACATTGTCCAGGGACTGGCCCTCTGCCATAATTCCAGCAAGCGCTGGCTCGGTCGCAGGGCAAATGTCGGGGTCCTTGTCGATCTCATGCTGATATCACGACACATACCTCCCGCTCCTTCCAGGGACGTGACAATGCCAGCCGATGCTCAGTCACGTCGTCCCGCTGCTACGCCTGCGTTGACGTCTATGGTCTTGGATACGTTATTATGCGTACTGGTGGACGCCCCTCCGGCCATCCGGGCATTTGAGGCTTGTAATGGTATACAAGCTGTCGTGAAGATCTTGAAGCGATCTGGTACTGCACGAGAAGTCCGGTAAGTGGGTGAAGGCCTGCATGATGGTATATTTGGCTAACTGAATCTCAGGATGAAGTGCCTCGAGTTCTTGTACTTCTATCTTATGGACGAGACGAATCCCTCGGCCACTGTTGCAGAATCTTCGTCAACAGCCGACGATTTGCAGCAGGTTCTGCAGCCTCGGCCCGGTGGTCTGCAAACTCCTAAAGTCAAAACGGAGGGTCGGCGTGTGGCATCATCGGGATCGTTGTCGTCTGCGACGTCCTTGTCGTCTTCGGGTTCCGATGATTCGTCCACTTCCGCCACGTCTTTAGCGTCCTCAGACGGCTCGGTAGCATCGACGCCAAAGCCTGCATGCCGCGTGCCGTCGCCAACATCACCATTTGCTCCGAACCCCGCCCTATTCCTTCTGAAGCGCGAGGTCGACTATGTGCCGCTTAGTCCTGCCAGACCAGTTGAATTCGGCAAGGACGATGTCATGAAGCGTTCTCCGCTGGAAGTATCGCTGAGCAAGAGCGGCTCACCGTTTCCCCCGTCAACGCCCTTGTCTCGCAAGCGAGGCGGCATCGGCCTCGGGTTCCCCGGCGGTAGTGCCGCGAAGGCTGCATCTAGCAGGTCTGGATCTGCAGCTCCTGGCCATAGACGCGGAGAATCCATGGTTTTATCTAGGACAGCGTCACGATTTAGCATGCAGGGAGGCCCCTTCACCCCAGGACACAGGAAAGGTGCATCTTTGGCTACGGCACCTCTCTCTGCACCAAACTTTCGCAAGGAGTCCTGCACTACCACGATGCCGAGTGCGTCGTCCTCGGCCTCCTCCCGGACGCCTGAGACACGCACAACGGAAGAGAAGAAAGAGTTGCTGGGTGGCCTGCTTGGTAATGTTGATGCGCTGGTAGAGGGCGTCCGGAAGGCCGGCGTGTGGGGCCTTGGCTAGGGGAAGTCGGTAGAGTCGTTGCCATGATCGGAATCGTTTTCGTTTGATTGTCATACTTATTTGTGTAACGTCTTGCTCTTGTTATCACCATGCTATCTCGCTTTCGTTTGCAATCTACAATCTCGCTTCGGATCTGCCGCCCCTTCTCGAGCAGCTTGATCAACAAGATGCGGATGGATAAATTATGAGTTCGTAAGCTACTTCATGTCCCTGCTGAGCGAGATCTATACTGAAGCTGGGCGAGCGTGTATGCGCTGCTCTGCAGCAAGTCTGTCCTTCTCTTCCTGCTCTATGATATCGCGCCATGAATGGTCCTAGAATACGAGATGAGTAAAATCACCGGACGAGATCAAGCACAGTTGGACTGACGGTGTTCGTGACGTGGCGGTAAATCGAAGAATCGTCGTTGTTCTTCACCTTGTTCGCTTGGGTCATGGCGCCGGCTGCAAGGAGCACGCCGATGGTGATGCCTTGTGCCCACATCCGTGCTTGCACAATCTGGCGCAATACACCCGTCAACACATGCGAGCGAAAGCGGCCCGCTGACGATACTAACTTTCATGGAGAACGACTGGTGCGGGTCGCGCATGATGTAACCGAACGCGCCTGCCATGCTGGCTGCCCACGCACCGCCGATAAAACTGTACTGATGGCGACCAACCCAGTCTTTCGCCTTTTCCCCGGTGGTCATCGATTGCCACCGCTCAAGGGCTCGTTGCTGCTGGAGGTCAAGCTCCTCCTTCCCAATGCCTGTCCATTGCTCCCGCTCAAACCGTTGCGACGCGTGTTCAGCCGAGATGACGAAGGACGGAACGACGACCATGATGACGCCCAGTGCCTTCAAAGAGAGAGGTAGCTGGCGATAATACGGCCATCTTTTGTTTAGGAAGTAAGATCCTGGGAGGGCGGCTGCTGAACCCAGCGCAAAGCCCTTGACACCTCCGGTGATAGTAGCTCTCTGACGGAGTCAACTTCAAACATTATTGGCGTTCTTTGCTGTCTACTAACCTGGTGCGCTGCTTGTTCTTCAGGAGTAACGAGCTGTGGAGTACCAGGTCGTCATCCAAGGCGTGCTGCACAAAGGTTCCGTGGGACGCTACCTTCATGTCTGTGAGTTGCGTCTAGAAGGATTCTAGGTGTGAGGGTGCGTTACAGGGCTTGTATGGAGTCGCGTCTGGGCAAAGGAGTTCTTATACACCGTTGCGAGCGCAAACTCGATTAAGCGTGGGCCATCCACAGGTGCGCGATTGGCTCATGGTACGTGCGGGGCGGCTCGGACGCCGCCGCCCGGAACCAAGTTCACCAAGCGGGGCTAGGCTGACTTGAAATCAGTCAGGCTCCGACATCACCGCCTTCAATTCCCTGCCAGTCACGTGCAGACAGTGCTCGCGTAAGCGAGGGCGTTCAGTAACGTGCGGATCGCGCGTCTTCGAATCGCTGAAGATGGACGAGCGTTCCCTCCTGCGTCAAGGAGCGCATTCAAAAACAGTCCGGGTCGCTATACGGGTCTGCTGCGTGCTCGCCGTACTTCCTCATATTCAGTTTATCTGTCATGTGTCCCCATCATACGATCTGCTTCTCGACATTGGCCGATTTAGCGGCATTTCCTCGGCCCGCATGCACCATCCTGTCTTCGTTCAAATAGCGGAAGGAGGGGTTGCGCATCGGCCGTAGTGGACGACGTTATCCGCCTGCTCTCTATCCAGAATGCTAGTCAATTCCAATTGGATGTGGTTCGGCGCAGCCGTCGTAGGACTCGCCTTCGGTGTCCAAGCAATCTCTCCAAACCCTCCGGAAGGGCACTGGGTCGATACCTGGGTATCCATGCCACAACTCACGGAGTCGACGAACCTGCCTTCCCCACCGTTCGTCAGTGTTCATCGGCCTGGTGTGTGACCATTGCCGATCTCTAATCGCTTATTCCCTCAGAACGGCACTACTGGGGTCTTCGAAAACTCAACTATACGTCAGACGATTCATACGTCTGTCGGGGGGAAGCAAATCCGTCTCCGCATCTCCAATAACTTCGGCGACTCCAACCTCGAGATTACAGCGGCTACCGTTGCGCTGCCTCTGAATGGCTCTTCTGGCGTGAGCGCGATTCAAGTGAACACATTAGTACCCCTCTCTTTCAGCGGAAGCAATGGAATCCTCATACCCAACGGCGCGCTCGCCGTGTCCGATCCAATCGACTTCACAATTCAGCCCCAGTCTGAGCTAGCGATATCCTTGTACCTTGCGAATGGCCAAGGAGGTTTCGACATCACTTCGCACCCTGGCAGTCGCGCTACGTCGTGGTTCACCTTCGGAGACGCCACGTCCGCGGAGAACATTACTGGCACGTCCGTCGTGAACGCTCAACACTGGTTCTTCATCAGTGCTCTGGAGGTTTGGTCTCCACCATCCGTCCGCTCTTTTGCAATCGTCGGTGACAGCATCACGGACGGACGCGGAAGCACCACTGACGGCAATGATCGGTACGATCTTCAACCCCGAGATCTGTAAGCTCCTCGCTCATGTCAGATCCTTGCATTAGCTGGCCAGATCAGCTCCTCGCACGCATGCAGACGAATCCGCCTACGTCTCAAATCGCAGTGATCAACCAGGCAGCCGGCGGTAATCGTATACTTGCCGACGGCCTCGGCCCTGCTGCTCAAGGCCGCATCGAGCGGGATGTCCTCGCACACCCGAACGTGGGCTTCGCCATGATCTTCGAGGGAGTCAACGACATCGGCACCGCGCCGACCACCACTGAGGCTCAAGCAGCTGTGACTCAGCGGCTCATCCAGGCATACAAGCAGATCATCAGCAGGGTGCATACAAACGGCATCCCCATGTTCGCTGCCACCATAACGCCGTTCGGTTCGCCGCAAAACTCGACCGTCATCCAGCCGTACGACGATCCCACGAGGGAAGTTTCACGTCAGACGATCAACAAGTGGATTCGCACCAGCGGGGCGTTTGACGGAGTTATCGACTTCGACGCGATCCTGCGTGATCCCACGAACAGCAGCAAACTCAGGCTCGAATTCGATTCCGGGGATGGACTGCATCCTAATACGGCAGGTTACCGTGCGGTCGCTCAGGCATTCCCGCTCGATCTCTTTACAAACTTCACCAAGGGAGTTTCTGGCTTCCAGTAGCTTCCAGTAAAGCTTCAGTGAGCGTAATGTATATCCGGCGTGAACATTATGTACCAAAAATAAGCAAGGGATTGCAAGGAGAGCAAAACAAAATGTATATGACCCGACGAACGGCGTCCCGCTAGCGGACAGTGCCCTTATGCGGACGAGTAGAACCGCCATGCAAAGTAGGCACCCAGAAGACCGAGAGGGACGAAGTACATAAGGCTGTGGCGTCCCGCGATTCAGCAATGTGGATTTCACTGCAGCATGAGCGACCACGTACTTGGACCCTTGTTCGACAGCACTGTTGACATGAGGGTTGGTCAGGCCAGAAGCCGCCTTCGCTGCCTCCTTCAACTGCTCCTGTTCAGATTGAATAGCGTCAGGTGTCAAGCGAACGGAACATTCTGAGTACTGCGGGGCGATAAGGGGAGAAAGGGTGGATCACTTACAACAGCACCCTCGAAGTTGCCAACGAACATATCGGGCAGAAGCGCGCGAGCCTCATCAGAGTGGCCAACGTCCTCAAAGGCCTCCGTCGCGTCCTTGCCTAGAAAAAGCAAGAGCAAGTCAGGATAAGTCCGGAATATATTGGATCGTGTCGAATGCGCGTACCGGCCTCCGCCAGGAGAACCTCATCTCCACCGGGGTGCTAAGTGGTGATCAGAGAACAGACGCTGCCCAAGCATACACACACGCTACCTCGTCAATGAATTTTGTCACATTGTACACTGCGAGTGTTACGTGTCAGCGCGGATGCGACGCGATGGCGCGCAGGTATCATACCCTTGCCGCTAATGAGGATGTAGAGGTCGTCCTTCTTGGAGTGCTCCTTCAGCTCCTCAATGGTAACGGTTTTGGTGGCCATGACGCAGGGATGAAGAGGGAGGGGGGAAGGTGGTGGTGTGAGCAAGAGACGTGTGGTACGAGGCCCGGGTCGGCAGCCGGAGGACCAATCAGACGGATTTTATTCCTCCTCGGTTCTTCACACGCGACTTACGTTTGCGGCCGTAGCAACTTCTTCGAACTGATAGCACGAAATGAAGCTGACGAGCAGGCACAGGCAAATCCGAGGCGTGACGTCGATCCGGTGCGATTCGTATACTAGTGGTAGGGAACTGGCGTGCGAGTAATGTACATTGTACAGGATGATAAAGACTACGATGGTATGCAAAGTACGATGCCGTCAAGAAATACTGGGCGCGTTTACTATTTCTGCCCTTGGTTCTGTCCCGAAGTTCCGAAGGTGAATGGTGATTGAGATGACGAACTGGACGGAGTTGCCCCTAGTCCGAACTGTGAAGAAGTCCCAGCAGCAGCGGGCTTTTGGCCAAAGGAGAAGGCGTTGCTTGTGGTATTGGCCGTGCCAATGGCCGGTGCAGCAGCATTGTTCGTGGCAAAGGCGGATGAGCCGAAAACGTTGGGGTTGGTTGAACTGCCCAAAGCACCTCCACTACCGAACGCAGGCGCATTCGGCCCTGTCGACGCTCCCGAACCAAAGTTGAAAGAGAAAGTCGGTGGCTTCTTGTCTGCGCCCCCCGCAGTATTCGTCGCTGCAGCCGCGGGTGTCGTAGTAGAAGAACCGAACGAGGAAAAAGTTGTTTTCGGCGCCGCGGGCGACGCAGCTGACGCCGTCGGGTTGCTGAATGCCGACTTGAAGGCTTCGGCAGTCTTACCGTCGCCTGCCGGTGTGGAACTAGTAGCAGAGGCGGAACCGAAGGTGAAGGGCGCGGGTTTGCTAGCCGTGGCTCCAGGAGTATTGGTCGCACCGAAAATACTGCCAGTGTTGTTCACGCCGAAAGCGCTCTGACCGCCCGTAGCCATTCCAAACACGGGTTTATTCGCTGCAGTTGATCCAGGCGCCGTCGTCGTCCCGTCGTTTTTAGGGGCACCAAAGGAGAAGGATGGCACGGACGGCGTAGGAGCAGAGGGGTTAGCCGCACTAGGCCCCGGATTTTTGTTGGCTTCTGACTTCGTCTCGGGCTGCTTGCCGAGTGAAAAGCTGAAGGTGGGCGGTTTACTGGTGAACACCGGAGATGGATCGGTATTGGCACCCGGACTGTTAGCGAAGAACGACGAGGCTTTTGTACTCTCTGGGGCATTCTGAGTGTTCGGTTTGAACGAAAACAGAGAGGGGGCTGGGGCCACAGTCGCACCCGGCGCCGGACTTGCGCCGCTGGCGGCAGAACTACTCTCGCCGATGCGGCTCAGTAACGATGGGCTCGACACAGCTGTAGCAGCGAGTGAAGATTGTTTTGTACTGTCGGAGTTGGTAGATGAAGGGCCGAACGTGAACGAATTGGGTTTTGCCGCAGCGTCGGCAGGCTTGGGGGCTGAAGTAGGCAAGGGTGAAGCTGATGGCAGCGTGGGTTTGAAACCGAACGCGAGTCCAGGGACAGGGACAGGAGGAGGACCCATTGAACCCAGCGGATTGCCAAGCGTCTTTGATTCATTGGCGGTCTTCACCTCAGGCTGCTTTCCAGCTACATCGGACGACGAAGCCAAATTCGTAGAGGTTGGGGGTGCTCCAAGCCCAAAGCCGGATACTAATGGGGCTGGAGGTTTGATCTTATCGCTGTCCACCGCCGAGGATCCCTGCGCCTTCGGCGCAACGCTCGGGAACCCGAACCCAAACGCACTGGACCCTGTGGATGACTGCGGAGGTGCCTTGTCCGTTGCGCTTTCCGACGACTTGACTGCAGGCGCGAAGGGCGGCGTCGATGAAGCAGGCTTCAGCAGGGGAACAACTGGTGAGCTTCCCAAGGCGTTGGGCGCTGCAGGTGTAGCAGATACTGCAAGAGGGGGACTAGGGGACGTTGGTGCACTGCTTGAATTTTTTTTCTGGTCAAGTAACTTCTGTCGCATTTTTGCCATCGCCTCTGCCTCCAAGTCCTGTTTCTCCCACTTGCTGTATGTTTTTGATCCCGGCTGCTTTGGGCTGTCGGCGGCGAGCGTGAGTGGGCTGTTGGCGCTGATACGACGCCCCAACGTTCGGTTTGGAGTGGCTTGTGATTGCTGGAAGGGGTTTACTCGGAGCACCGCAGTCGTTGTGATCGACTGGCGAAGGGTGTTATGCTTAAGCAGCGGTGAGTCGCTCGCACGTCCTGTGGTGGAAGACCACAACAGGTTTTTGCCAACCTTGGTGGGCGAGACCTATGAAACGACGATTAGCATGATCCCACCGATGAACCGCGGTGACATACCGCCGCGCTGTCAGGGGTAGTGGGTTCAGAGCCGTTAGTCTTCAGGGGAGGAGTATTCTGCCACGCTAGGTCGCCTTGTTCTTTGGCCGCTTTGTACTCATCTTCAGAGAGCCAGGTCTCAACCCAAATGACCACACCGGCACCGCGATCTGGATGTTGAGAGTCGCTAGGCTGCACTTCCGTCAGTACGGCCTTGGAAAACGCGTAGGGTAAACTGACCATCGGGAATTTGGTCGGTTGCTTCTTCTTGACGAGCGCATGACGAAGTCGCTGTCCGTTCATGCCTACTTTGTACCTGATACCGTTTGCTGTCCATTCTTCTCCAATCTTCCGCCCTTTGCATAGCGGATCATTGGAAATATCCTGCTCGTTCCCGAAGCTTTTCTCTGACGCCGTAGTGCTCGATCTCTTCCCTCGCTTCCGCAAGTTACCCTGTTCGGAACCATCATTCGAGTGCATGTCAACATCGGAGTCCGAATCTGAGGCAAGTCTGTCCCTCTTCTGTCCTCTAGTGGCGACTTCAAAGTTGCGCTTCTGCAAGGTGCGTCGCTTCCTGTGACGCGCTCGAACGCCGTCATCTTCCCCTTCCAATTCCAGTTCCAAGCTGTCGTCACCACCGAAGGTCGAGCCTGCCTCGCTCTGGCGCCGCTTCACCCCAGCAGAAGCACGCTTCCCGCGACTGGACGCCGAAGTTATGTCGGCCAATCCGTCCTCGGCCTCTGTCCCATCAACGTCCATCTCCGCACCAGGCTGCTCAAGTGACACCTTGCGCGCGCGTTTGTCACGTCTGCCGGAGACATCAACAGAGTCGGTGGAGCGCTTATGCCCCCGTTGAGGCACGAGATCCTGCCCTTCGATGTCAGCGTCATCCTCAGCGATCTCTTCTTCGGCTACGCGAGACTTCTTGTAATTCTCCCCGTCGCCTTCATCATCAGACTCGGCCTCGTACTTTCTAATATGACCTCTGCGAGCCGGAGGATCGGCACTGTCTGGTACCGGTATAGGGGTCACGCCAACCAGACCACCGGGAATATAGGGCGTTGAGAGCGAGTTCGGTATTGATGATCCCGTGTTTCCTAAAGTGGCAGACAGAGAGCCTCGTTGTGGAGAGGAAGCCTGTTCCGCAGGTGGGGAAGGATAGTGCCTGGCAGCATCGCGCTGTACAGTTCTCTGTACTGCCTTCGCTACAAAGCCTAGAAGGTCACATAGTATGAGAAATCCAATATCCATGCGCCCGTTGTGGTAACGGCACTCACCGGGTGGTCTCGCTTGACCTCGCCGTTGTTTCTGACCGTCCGCCAATGCGTTACGTGATGGAGTGCCAGATACCGAGCTCCTCTTGGCATCCC